CATCTGCTCTGCCATCTGATCTGTCTCAGTGTCGTGTCTTCAAGGCCATATTTCATTTCTCTCTTTAACAACGTAGAGCCCACCAGGGGTATTTGTACCCCAGGGGGTTCTTAATCAGATTCCAGTGGGGTACTTGAAAATATTTTTAGACGTTTTGTTATACGCCTCCACGGTTGGTACTGGTTTTAACCTGTTATAAAAAAATTGACAAATTGGTGATATTTCATAATTGTTGAGCTTCTGCTGTATTTAAAATCCATCATAAAATGAGTGCAGGTAACATTTTTGTTACTTTTGTTAAACATCCCATCTGAATTTCATTTATAAATAATTTTTTGTATTTTTTTTTACGATTGGTTGAACTGTCAAAACGTAAAAGAAAAACAAGCTCAGGAGTCTTATTAAAAAGTGAGGATGCTGGTTCTCTTTTTTCTCCCACAGTATTTTAGTTTAAAAGCAAATCATCATTATACTGCCCACTTCAATTAATAATGATATTAATAATCATAATAATAAACACTATTATTATTATTATTATTATTATTATTATTATTATTATTATGATTACTACTACAGTTGTATTTTAGTATGCAGTAGTAATGGCCTAATAATAAATACCTTTGTAATGGCTCATTTATAATAATAATAATAATAATAATAATAAGCAATATAATATGAGTTAAAATAAGCCCATTTTGGTAACAAAGGGCTGTAGGGATGCATGAGAAAAACCCCCCCAAAAAACTTTATTAATACATCAAACTACATATGTGACCCTGGACCACAGAACCAGTCATAAAGGTCAATTTTCCGAATTTGAGATTTATACATCATATGAAAGCTGAATAAATAAGATTCCCATTGATGTATGGTTTGTTAGGATAGGACAATATTTGGCCGAGATACAACTATTTGAAAATCTGGAATCTGAGGGTGCAAAAAAATCAAAATACTGAGAAAATCGCCTTTAAAGTTGTCCAAATTAAGTTCTTAGTAATGTATATTACTAATCAAAAAATAAGTTTTAATATATTTACGGTAGATATATTAAACACGATAACACGATCTTTGCTTAATATTCTAATGATTTTTGGCATAAAAGAAAAATCAAATAAATAAGACTAAGGTTTTGTGCTCCAGGGTCACATATCTGGTAACTAGCAAGGATGCTTTTCACATGTTCTATTGCAGTAAATATATTGGACAGTCTAACATGTGTACTTCCAAATAACAAAGTGAAGGCCTCAAAAAGAGAAATTAAACAACTCAGACTGCTTGCACATAAATAGTTTAATCTTTGCTTCATAAATCAGGTGGTGAGTGTTCATTTGGCTTGAGTGAGGCCTTCAGGTTCACACTTGGCCCTGTGTAAACATGTTTTCTAGTCAGTCCGTGATTCATCCACAGAGCCGTAATCAAAAACAATAACTATCGGAAAGCGTAAACATTTCAGAGCGTCGCTGAGAAGTATGAAATAATAATCTGTGTGTGGCCTGGCAAATGCTGAGAATGCAAACATTTCACAATAAAGTTGTTTAAATAGAGACCTTGGCATTGATGACTAAGAGATAGGACATGCCGCGTTAATTACACCCGCTCATAAAAATAAACCACCGGTTTAAAATATGACTCCATACTATAGGATTCAACCTATTAAATGGCAGTGAGGTGTGTTGCTCAGATGTGAAGGAAGGGTGTATTGTTTAGAGTAAAAACACAACAAGCTCAGAAGGAGATAAAGAGAAAGAGAAAGAAAAAAAGGCAAAATAGCTGTACAATCAACAAAGGAACAGAGTGTTTACTCTGAACTTAAAGACTTTTGAATTATTCCCCACCATTGTGTGGCATTAGGACAAGAAAACAGCTCGGCTAAGTGCACGTTTATTATTTTTAAATCGTGTGAAAAGTAATATGCTTTAAGGAGCCAGTAGATGTATTGGTAGAGCTATAGAGGGCCCACACATAAAGTTTGAAGTGAGTTAAGTTTCATCAGGGGATGGCGAGAAATTGATTATTTTCCTTGAGCATGGACTTAAGTTTTAAAGTTCACTGCCGGGTGGCCCACTCCTATTATCCAAGTTAACATAAGAATAGAGGACAGGAAGGAGGCAGGGCTAGAAAGAGAGACACAGAATAAGAGTCAAAGAGATGGAGTTTGTGGGGGTTCCTGGTTTAAATTAACTTCTGCATAGCAGGAGCTGTTGTTATCCACTTAGAATGTAACACTTTCACTTTTACTTCTCACTTTAACTAATAAAGTCCAAGGTTTTCAGGTAATGGCATATCAGGGATGTCAGAGCAGTCTTGGCACTCCTCAGGGGCTGAGCCCGACCAGCTTTTGTGGGCCACACGACAAGCACAATTTCCCAGCTTAGACCTCTGGCTAGAGAACAAGGAACCCGGTCACAGAAGCGGCGCGCTCCGGCTAATCACGTTACACTGTTTTTGCTTCACATTACACTTAGTTTACCCCTGAAACAGAGTCTAAGGAACCATGACAACTCTTCAGTCTGAGAAGAGGCATGCCGTTATGAATAAATGTTTGTATACATTTTTTGTGGATCTTGGAGTGTGCACATGGTGAATGGACTGTGCTTAAAGACATCTGGATGCGATGAAATAGAATTTGTTTAAACAAAATTAAGCCCATCTCTCTCCACCTGGAAAGCCACCCAGAGCGCACGCTGCTCATCACTACATACTTGTGCAGTGATTTTAGTAGGACTGTATTGACAGATAATTCACTACAGCAGTATGAAGGCTTTTGAAAATGCATGATGACTTTCACAGCTTTCGCTGAAAGAGTCAACATGAATACCGTGACTTTACTCATGCCGGAATTCAGGGGGAAAATGGTGGTGTATTTATTCCACTGGGCTTTAACAAATTCAATACAGGATATGCTGTAATTATTAATGTTGTTGTTGTTATTATTATTATTATTATGAATAATAATAATGATGATAATAATAATTATTATTATTGTTATTAAAAAGCTAAATTATTATTATTCACAATTACAGCATATCCTGTTGTAGTGTTTATGTATCTTTATTATTACATTTTATTATTATTATTATTATTATTGAAAACAAATACATAAGCTACATGTTGTCTTTCCTAAAATATTAAATGAATTAACAATATAAATTATGATAATTTTCCTCATTATTATTAGTATTATTCTTGAACACAAGTACATAAGCTACATAGTTTGATGCATTTCTTAAAATATTATATAAATTAATAAAATACATGAATAATAATTATCTTCTTCATTATTATTATTATTATTATTATTATTGAACACGAGGACATAAGCTACATAGTTTGATGCATTTCTTAAAATATCAAATAAATGAATAATAATTATCTTCCTCATTATTATTGTTATTATTATGTAATACTTATTTATTTGAATTTTTGAAAGTCAAATATTTAAAATTCTAGAGCTATTAGTGTCACGGGGCTGACGAGACGTGAGACGTGTGGATCCATCTGCAAGCTTTATTTAAAGAGACGTGGTATAACAGGCAGTGTCGAGCAATGGCAAACAGGTATATGGTGGGCAAAACACAAGAATGGTCCTAGGGCTAGCATAGGTCACCGATCGGCAGACAGAATCACAGGGGCGAGACGAGAGGGAAAAATCCAGGAAAACAGGCAAAGGTCAGAAACCGCAAAAACAGGCAAGGCAAAACAGGGAAAACACGGAGACTCGGAAAGGGGTACAGGCTAAACAATACTCAGTAGAGAAAGGTGGTTTGAGTGGGTGTTATATAGTGAGTGAGGTGATTAGAAACAGCTGTGTGCAATGAGTGCAATCAGTGCAGTGTGCAAATCGTGCAAAGAATGATGGGATATGTAGTCCGGGGTGCTATGCAACAGTTGTGCGAGAGTCAATGTAATGGAAAGGGTGACCTCTGGTGGTGAATAATCGGAAGTCCATGGACCGAATTCGTGACAGAGCCCCCCCCCCCTCCCCATGGAGCGGCTTCCAGAAGATCTAAAAACACTAAACAATCCAGGTGGGCGGTGGAGCGGAGGCGGAACAGGGCGAGGGCCGGAGGGCCAGGTCCAAGGATAGAAGAGACCAGGGACTGAGGCAGAGCCGGCGGAGCTGAGGACCACCACAGCAGAGCAGATGGGACTGAAGGTCCCCACGGCGGAGCAGAAGACCACCAGAGCCAGACAGTAGACCACCACGGCGGGGCAGAG